ATATATATATATATATATATATATATATATATATATATATATATATATATATATATATATATATATATATATATATATATATATATATATATATATATATATATATTTTATATATATATATATATATATTATATATATATATAAATATATATATATATATATATATATATATATATAATGTGTGTATGTGTGCGTTGTTGATGTATGATGTGTATATATATATATATATATATATATATATATATATATATATATATATATATATATATATATATATATATATATATATATATATAATATGTTGTGTGCGCTTGTTGATGTATGAGGTATATATATATATATATATATATATATATATATATATATATATATATATATATATATATATATATATATATATATATATATATATATATATATATATATATATATATATATATATATATATATATATATATATATATATATATATATATATATATATATATATATATATAATTATGAAATATGTGTATGCATATGCACGCCCGCGCGCATACACACACACCAATGTCTGGATATCGAAGCGCACATACCTTGTTTGTTTCAAAGGCGAAATATCCCCCCCCCTTCATGTCTTTCATATTTGGAAGGAAAGATTTATCGGGACGGGTTTCGAACCTAAGGTGAAGTTCAGTGACCGAGGTCTCTCTCTCTCTCTCTCTCTCTCTCTCTCTCTCTCTCTCTCTCTCTCTCTCTCTCTCTCTCTCTCTCTCTCTCTCTCTCTCTCTCTCTAAAATAGTAACGAGGCAAGCTATGATTATTGATTATTAAGAAAACAATATAGCGTTTTTTTATTGTAATATGGATAATATTGCTCTTTTAAAGTCAATTTGAGATAATTAAAACCCCTCTTTAAGCGATGGTTGTAATATAAAAAATGAGATATTATTTAGAAGATTATTTTGAATGGCTGAAAATACATCCTGATACTCCTAAAGAGATTATCAAGGACACTGAGAATAGATAAAACATAATACAAAATACATATAGAGTCGATACTTGTTAAGAATTAATTTGAGACTTATTATGTGATCGGTTTTGTGTCACGTACCCCTCTTTCTACTAAGGGCTAGGACGGTATCGCCTTACGAAAGACTTGGGTTTTGGAAGGTGTGATCGTTACCCTGAGTACATGCCCTCGATAACCTCAGTCCGTTGCGGGCCGCAAACCCTCGACCTGACCCCTCAAGACTGTGGACGCTACCGCTTTGCCACGGAGATCACAATTTGAATCTTATTATAATAAGATAATATGAAACAGAAAAATACTTTACAAATAATTTGAGATAATTAAAGAGAAAATATTTAAAGAAAATATGAAATAGAGAGAGACTGATACTCTTTATTGGGTGAATGCTGATAATTAGAGCTTAGATGAAGGTTTTTTGAACTTAAATAGGTCTGTCCAGGACAGTTCGATGTTAAGTCTTCCTTCAGTTGCGCTTCTTTTTCTATTCCTACATCAACACTGAATATTCTTGGATATTCATCACACAGCTTTTATTATCCCTTCACATCTGACACGTCATTGCACTCACCATCTCTGTTTCTCTTTACTTTATGTATTCTTTGTGCCCAGGCCCGATGAGGGCTGTTTTAGTTTATTATTATTTGGCCTGTCCTGGTGTTACAATTATATATAAATATATATATATATATATATATATATATATATATATATATATATATATATATATATATATATATATATATATATATATATATATATATTTAATCATAATTTCAGATATTTATTAGAAATTGATATGCCTTAAAGTAATTTGAGATTATTAAAGATTCTAACACTTTAAGTGGTAATTCCGGATCAGGAAAGTAATATATATATATATATATATATATATATATATATATATATATATATATATATATATATATATATATATATATATATATAGTTAGAATAGGATTTTGTGACTTTAACAAAAGACACTATTATGTCTCTGGCTTTGCTATCCTATTTCTTAATAAGTTTGTATCGTCCTCTGCAGTTAGTCTTAGAAAGCATCGTTGCAGAGGTTATCTCGCACGGGATTCATCTTGAAAGATGTTTTGCAGTGATACAAGCACAGAACAAGAGGAAAGCAACAATTTTCCAAAATCATAAATCCTTGCAAACAGATTAAGAAATAGGATAGCAAATCCAAAGACATAATACTGTCTCTTGTTTAAGTCACAAATATCCTATTCTAAGGAGAACTATAGCATGATCAAATTCAAGTGCATTTTGTGAATATATATATATATATATATATATATATATATATATATATATATATATATATATATATATATATATATATATATATATATATATATATATATATATATATATATATCGAGATAATTATATAATGAGACTGGTACGCTTTAAGAGGTGATTTGAGATTATTATATAGACACATATTTTTTGTAGATAATTTGAGATATTCAAAGAGAA